TCGCTGGGTCAGTTCTGTTTCCAGCCCTGTCTTCCACTGGAACCAATGGGTGTTGCAGTCCAGCCAGATACCACCCAGTGCACACTTGGCCCTCACGTAAACTAGTGTGAGTTGCAGCCTAGTTAGAGCAACCCACAATAACACCCACCAGGTTCCCGTGCTTGCCAGTATGTGTAGAAGCCTAGTTCAACAGAACCAGAGCTAGTATCCAGTAACACACAAGCTGTTGGGTGCCCTTCTGTCTAGCCACCCTGCAACTGTCCTGGTTGTTGTTCCCTTCAGTGGGAGTGGTAATCCAGGAGGGAAGAGCCCACTATTTCGATACTTGGCCAGTCCCACTCCTGGATTTTGCACTCTACAGATGGGTCTGTAATTTTTGTTTTTTAGATTGATTTATTCTTTGGAGAAACAGATGTACAGAGAGGAGGAGAGACATAAAAGATCTTTTGTCCCATGATTCATTCCCCAAGTGACCCCACATGTGGTGCTGTGCTGATCTGAAGCCAGGAACCAGGAGCTCCCCCTGGTCTCCCATGCATTTGCAGGTTCCCAAGGTTTTGGGTCATCCTCAACTGCTCTCCCAGGCCATAAGCAGGGAACTGGATGGGAAGTGGAGCTGCCGGGATTAGAAACAGCACCATTATGAGATTCCAACATGTTCAAAACAAAGACTTCAACCATTATGCTCTCATGCCGGACCCGGTTCTGGAATTAAACTTGACAGTTTTTGCCTCCAGTGTCAGCCACTGCCAGCTGATGCTGCTACAAAGCCCAACTAAATGTCACCCACGCTAATTTTTGCCTGAACTAGTCGAAATAGTCAGACCAAGCTGTCTTTTCCCTGATCTAGTGCACATGAGGCTCAAAGGTGTTGTAGCCCTGCCGGGTCTGGTCTACACCCATCCCAGTTCATCTTCTCCAGTGGGAGTGGTTGAGGAACAGGGTAGCCACCTTCACTCTTTCCGGATACAGCCAATATCTGGCTTGTTCTCACATGTGCTCTTGGACTCTATGGCAACATCCAGTACAAGTCACCTCACTTTGGCATTCCAATATGTGTACTGGTTTTTGTCTGGATGAAACATGGCAAAAGAGTTCCAGAGCTAGAGCTCAGATTAACTGGTGAATGATGTCAAATGATTCAGGCTGGATTGCCTCAAAAGCATGCAAAATCTATTCCAGTGGGATACTTTCCATGGGGTAATCTGGGCTTAGAAACAGCCTGGTCTGTTCCTGATCTGTGCTTAATGCACCTGCATGTGGGTACCATATTTTGGCCTGATCGAAGCTGCTCTCCAACTTGGCCCTTGCACTCACAAGCAGGAACTAGGTCCCTACAGAGGACTTCCCCAAGCCCCCTCCACCACGATATGTTCCAAGGCCAGATCTCACATGTATCAGTGGGTCCATGGGCAGGCCCTTCTTAGCCCACTTCCTGTTCCACAGGAACGGTGGTCTTTCCTGAATGCTCCTCACCCATTCCGGTTCTTGTTTTGGGCACTACAACCCAGCCAAGCCTGGTTTGGTTCACATCCAGACACAGCTCACACATGGCTCAGCAGGGCCAGAGACCTAGCCTAGTCTGTCGTACACTTACCCTTGTTCTCACAAGCACCAGTGGGTGCTGGAGTCTAGCCCAGTCCAGCGCATCTCAGACCCAGCCGACAAGCAAGCCAAGGGCTCCTTCAGCTACATCCAGGAGCAGATCATTCCCGGAAACTTGACTCTCATGCTCATCAATCAGTGGGGATCAGAACCTCAGGCCTGGGCATCCCCGTTGCTCCCCAACCAGGCCTGTTTCCCTCCACAGATCTCCCACATGCCACTGGTTGCTCTGAACTGTCTGCTCTGGTCCATCATCTCTCTTAGCCTTTGCCTTTGGATGCTGCAGGTAGCCTCACCTAGCCAGCCCCAGTCCCAACTCTCACTGCCAGGTCCTGCCACCTGGCCTTGCTCAGTCTGCTCCCATCCCTGGCTCATGTCAACCAGTAGGTGTGATGCCCTACCTCAGCATGAGCTGCACTGCAGCCTGGTTTCTGCACTCACCAGTGGGCTAAGGTCTGCTCTTCTGCCTGGTGCGCCCCCTGAGAAAACCAACCCACACATTTGCCAACAGATGGGACTCCCTTGCCTGGCTTTCCTGACACCTGGGACTGAAACACGTGCTCTTCAGTGGCAGTTATGTCCCTACATGGGGTTTTCCAGTGTTCTTGCACTTGACCCACTCACACACACATCTCACATGTGCCAGCAGGTGCTAGGTCCTCTCCGAGCATGCCTTGCCCTCCATCTCAGCCTTTCTATGAGCTGGAGGATGTTGCGGGCCGGCCCACCTGACACCCTGTTTTGGGATGGATGCAGATGCAAGTGTGGCAGCTCGGACCTGCCCAAACTCTTCTCAGCACCAGTTCCTGGGAGTGCTGCTGGGTTCCATGTTCACACCTCGTTCAGCCAGTCACCACCCCAACTCTTGAGCTAACCAGTGGGACTTGTATTTCCATAGAGTTTGGCCCACATTTCCCCAGCAGTATCAGCCCCTGGACATGGGACTCTTGCACGCTGCATAGTGGCATGGCCCTGCCTGATGTGACCTGACCCCTGTTCCTACACTCCATCAGGCACTGGGATCTAGCTCTGCTAGACAGGCCCCAGAGCCATAGCTTTCATGTGGGGTGGCATGTGTCTGTCAGCGAGGCTGTGTGCCTACAAGTGCATCTCAGGACTGTCATGTGGGCTGGTGAATCAGTCTGAGCCACACAGAGAGATCTTCCAATCTCCTCCATACCACCAAGTCTCAGTCAGTATAGTGGCCCTGTTCTTGGGCATCCCTCAGAATTCATTCCTCACTTACCTGGATGGTATCTCTAGCCATGCCTGTCCCTAGGCAATAATTCAGCACCACCTAGTCCCCAGAGCTCCAATTGGGTTGGCTAGTGGACAATGCCCAGCATCCACTCAGGAATGCACTGGCTTCCGCAGTGAATGATGCAGGCTGCTTTGGAAGCATTTGGGAGCATTTGGGAGCGGAGCGCACACTGAAGGCCATTTAAGCATGTGGGGGTAGGAAATGGTCTTGGGCAGGTGATCCCAAGGACCCAGGCCAGGCATGCGAGCCTCACTGCATCTCCCACCCCTGCAGCTCACAAACCTGACAAGCACTGAGTAGACAAGCCCCAGGACACAGGCCAGATGACCAGAGTCCTGCTGGGTGCCCCATTCCTGCAGCTCACAAACTGCACCCCCTTCCAGGGAAGCCCAAGGACCTGAGGCAAATGACTCAAACCCCACCAGATCCTGCACCCTTGGGCATCACAAACCCAACACCCACCTCACAGGCAGGTTCCTAGACCTGGGCTAGGTGACCCAAGTCCTGCCGGTTCTCTCCTCACCCCAGGGGCTCACAACTACCAACACCCCAGCACACGGGTGAGTCCCAGGACCTGAGCCAAGCTACCTGGAGCCCTGTCAGCTCCCCTGGCCCTGGGACTCATGAATCTGAGCCCTGCTGGCACCAGACTAGCATGCCTCACCTCAGCTCAGCTCAGCATCCAAATCTTATTATGTAACCTGATCTTGCCTCTACTGCTCCCTGTTCTACCTCCTGGTGCTGTGCTGGTGGATCCTGCAGCCTATCCCAGTCCAGCCTGATTCTTGTCCTGGCCCTAATGGGAACTGGCTGGTGTTGCAGCCCAATCTGGCTCCTCCTACCCCTTGCCCTGGTTCTCAGATCTGCCAGTGGGTGTTATGAACTGGCCCAGACTGCTCTGTCCCCAGATCTGACCCATAAGTATGCCTGCAGGTACTGGCACCTGGCATTCTCTGGGCTGCTCTTTGCCTTGTTTCTTGTGCGCACCTGCAGGGACTGCATCGGCATGAAGGAGTTTCCCAAGCAGCTCCATCAAGTCTCCTCCCAGTGGCAGTTCTTAGGCACCCCAATGGGTCCTTGGCTCAGGTTGACTTTGTCTATCTCCTGTCCTGGCAAGAACGGTGGCCTTGCTCAATTGGTCCACACCCAAGTAGCATCAGGTTTACAGACTGAGGGCCATGTCGGATAAGGGAAGAGGGTTTGAGCAATTTACATATTGGTTATGGGAGTTCCCCTAGTTCTATCTGTAGATCTTCTGTAGTTGTTCCCACACCTTTGATTGGCACTGTCTCCCTCTTTTATAAGCCAAGCCTATAGACCCAATCTGAAGATATAGTTCCAGAACTTCAAACACCTTGAAAAATATGCGCATAGCAACATACAATGTAAATCTATATCTGCATAATGTAAAATGTCAATCAACACTCTGAATGTTCAAATGCATTTTTTGATTGATTGATTGATTGGAAAGTCAGAGAGACAGAGAAGAGGAGAGACAGAGAGGAAGATCTTCGGTCTGATGATTCACTCCCCAAGTGAGCTACATGGCCAATGTTATGCGGATCCCAAGCCAGGATCCAGGAACTTCTTCCAGGTCTCGCACACGGGTGCAGGGTCTTAAGGCTTTGGGCTGTGCTCAACTGCTTTCCCAGGCCACAAGCAGGGATCTGGATGGGAAGTGGAGCTGCCAGGATTAGAAGCGGCGCCCCTATGGGATCCTGGCGCATTCAAGGTGAGGACTTTAACCGCTAGGCCACGCCTCGGGGCCCTCAAATGTATCTTGACAGGAGCTGGCCAGGGCCTTTTGTGCAGGGCAGGAGCGGGGTGGGGCAGGGCAGGGCAGGGCGGGGCGGCCCCCCTAGGGCGGGCTGGTGGGTGGGGAGGGCAGGGAGAGCAGGGAGAACAGGGAGAGCAGGGAGAGCTGTGCCAGGGCTGCCCCTGCCCAAGGCCCACCCCAGGCCCGCCCCAGGCCCTCCTGGCCCGCCCAGCCTGCAGATGCAGCTTTTCCGTGGCATTTGCAGCAGCAGCAGAAACAGTAGCAGCAGCACCCAGAGTGGTGGTGGTGGCGGCCTGTCTGCCCTCGCGGTGTTTCCATCGGATCTCAGCTGTTCCCATCAGTAGCAGCAGCAGCAGCATGGCGGACTACCTGATCAGCGGTGCGGGCACCAGCTACCTGCCCGAGGACGGGCTCACGGCGCAGCAGCTCTTCGCCAGCTCCGACGGCCTCACAACGACTTCCTGATCCTGCCAGGTTTCATCGACTTCACAGCTGACGAGGTGGATCTCACTTCAGCCTTGACCCGGGAGATCACGCTCAAGACACCGCTCATCTCCTCCCCCATGGACACCGTGACGGAGGCCCACATGGCCATTGCCATGGCTCTGATGGGAGGCATCGGTTTCATTCACCACAACTGCACCCCGGAGTTCCAGGCCAACGAAGTGCGCAAGGTCAAGAAGTTCCAGCAGGGCTTCATCACGGACCCGCTGGTGCCGAGCCCCTCGCACACGGTGGGCGACATGTTGGAGGCCAAGCTTCGGCTCGGCTTCTCGGGCATCCCGGTCACGCAGACGGGCGCCATGGGCGGCAAGCTGGTGGGCATGGTCACCTCCCGAGATGTCGACTTCCTCGCCGAGAAGGACCACACTACGCTCCTCAGCGAGGTGATGACACCGCGCCCGGAGCTGGTGGTAGCTCGGGCGGGCGTGACCTTGAAGGAGGCAAAGGAGATCCTGCAGCGCAGCAAGAAAGGGAAGCTGCCTATCGTCAACGACCGGGACGAGCTGGTGGCCCTCATCACCCGCACCGACCTCAAGAAGAACCGGGACTACCCTCTGGCCTCCAAGGACTCCCACAAGCAGCTGCTGTGTGGAGCAGCCGTGGGCACCCGGGAGGACGACAAGTACCGCCTGGATTTGCTCACTCAGGCCGGTGCTGACGTCATAGTGCTGGACTCTTCCCAGGGCAACTCCGCCTACCAGATTGCCATGGTGTGCTACATCAAGCACAAGTACCCCCAGCTGCAGGTGATTGGGGGCAACGTGGTGACAGCGGCCCAAGCCAAGAACCTGATCGAGGCTGGCGTGGACGGGCTGCGCGTGGGCATGGGCTGCGGCTCCATCTGCATCACTCAGGAAGTGACTGCCTGTGGACGGCCCCAGGGCACCGCCGTGTACCAGGTGGCCCAGCACGCTCGGCGCTGTGGGGTGCCTGCGATAGCTGATGGCGGCATTCAGGCCGTGGGGCACGTGGTCAAGGCCCTGGCTCTGGGAGCATCTACAGTGATGATGGGCTCTCTGCTGGCCGCCACCACGGAGGCTCCTGGCGACTACTTCTTCTCGGATGGGCTGAGGCTCAAGAAGTACCGGGGCATGGGCTCGCTAGATGCCATGGAGAAGAGCAGCAGCAGCCAGAAGCGATACTTGAGCGAGGGGGACAAGGTCAAGGTCGCGCAGGGCGTGTCGGGCTCCCTCCAGGACAAGGGCTCCATTTACAAGTTCCTGCCCTACCTCATCACCGGGCTCCAGCATGGCTGCCAGGATATCGGGGCCCGGAGCCAGAGCTCAAGTTTGAGAAGCGGACCATGTCAGCCCAGCTCGAGGGTGGCGTCCATGGCCTGCACGCTTACCAGAAGCGGCTGTATTGAGGGCGTCTGCGGTGGTGGTGGTGGTGGGAGTGGTGCGCCCTCTGGTGCCCGTTTGCGCACGGCCTCCCTGCATAGCTGAGCGGCCCCCAGATTGGCACTAAGAGCTCCTTGGCCAGGACAGAGGAAAGAGCAGCTGGCCCTGAGGGGTCCGTGACCCCTAGCTGAGCATCCCTGCACCCCCACTCCCTTCCCCGGGGTCGGGGGCCGGACTCTTCTGGGAGTACCTTGGGCTGTTCTTTCTTCAGCCTCTCCCCAGTCCCTGCCAGCTGGGTTCTTGGGCCCCCTGCCTGCCTCAGGTCTTGCTTGCTGCAGCCTGCTCTGGTTTGTCCCTGGGGCGGGCAGCCCTCTCCCAGCTTCTCCTGGACGTCCCTTCCCTCCATCCTCCCTCCTCCCACCCCCAGGAAATGATGCTTTCCAGCTTCTGCCCTCTACTCCAGGCTCCTGACCAGGCCAGAGGGAGGTCTCTGCCCCCTTTCCCCTGGCCCGAGTCTCCCCGCCCTACCCTGCTCCTTAGGCTTCCCAGCCCTCAGCCTCAGCCTCAGCCTCAGCCTCAGCCTGGGGAGGAGGCTATCTGCTTTCTGACATGACACCGACCCTGGGAATACATTCAGCCAATCTCCATAAACAATGTAGATTGCCTGGTACACTTTCCCTCAGGTATGATGAGTCTGTACGCAAAGTCTGTATGCAAGTCTGTATGCAAAGTCCAATAAACCAAGCAGAAACAAAATTGTTTTCAGTGTCCACTTGGCTGGGCTCCTTCTCAACTCCTGAGAAGCACACCTGTGGCTCTGACAGAAGCCGGCATTAGCTAACACCTCTGCTTTGGAATCAGTCAGCACCCAGCTGGCTCGCCGCATCACACCATTTCCTGCCCACATCTTACCATTGATGCTCAACAAGCAAGGCAGTGGCCCAATGATGGCCAGTCCAGTGAAGGGCAGGGCGGAGAGGAGAGGAATCCAGGAGATGCCTGACGATGATGGAGTCAGAAGCTCAGACATCCCTTGGCCGCATGTGGACTTTGTTTTTTCTTGTTATCTTTGATTGATGATTCTTGCAATCATTTTCGGCTACAGTTCCATAGGCCCCTGGGATTTCCCTCGTCCCCTCCCCAGTCCCCCGCCCATCGAGTTCCCCTCTCTCATGACTAAAGTCACTATGTGGTGGTTACACTCTACCCTGGTTCCCATGCTTGCCACCGTGTACAGCTGACTGGTCTCCTCTGTCCCATATCCCGATTGACTCTCGTACATCTCAAGGGGGCATTGAAGCCCGGTTCATCCCAACCAGCCGCACTGTCCTGTCCACAGAATTGCCAGCCGGTGCCAGCATCTGTCTAGCCATGCCTATGTCTGACAGGATCCGGGCCCTGTGCCAGCAGCTGCCAGCTGTTGGTTGCCGTGGAAAACCCCAACCAACTCATACCCACACTGGCTTATGCATGACCCAGGACATACAGTCAGCCCAACCTTGCCATTACTCGAGCCAGCTCACATGTAGGCCATCAGATGTTGTGGCCTTGCCCGGCCAGGCCTGTCCCATCGCAGCTCTCATGCTCGCCAGTGGGAGTAATGCCCCAGCATGGTGGCACCTTCAGTGACCCCACTGGGTCCATGCCCACTCTTTCCTCGGGTTTCACATGTACTGCTTGGGTGCTACAGCCCAATCTGGCACAGCTTCCCTCACCTCCCTCAGCATTTGCCAGCGGCTGCTGTGGCTTGTACAGCCCATGCCATCCCCAATGCCAACCAACACTGGCTGTGGTTACAGCTTATTACAGCCCCGCCTGCCCTAGTCCCAGGTCTAATGTGGATGCACTGGTATTGTGCCTTGCCTATCCTGACCGATACTTCATTCTGGTACTGCAACTCACCACAGGGTGAGATGGACTGACACAGCCTGGTCTGTTCCTGATCTGCGCCAAATGTACCTGCATGTGGGTACCATATTTTGGCCTGATTGAAGCTGCTCTCCAACTTGGTCCTTGCACTCACAAGCAGGAACTAGGTCCCTACAGAGGACTTCCCCAAGCCCCCTCCACCACAATAGGTTCCAAGGCCAGATCTCGCACGTATCAGTGAGTCATGGGCCGGCCCTTCTTAGCCCACTTCCTGTTCCACAGGAATGGTGGTCTTTCCTGAATGCTCCTCACTCATTCCGTTCCTTGTTTTGAACTGAACCAAGCCTGGTTTGGTTCACATCCAGACACAGCTCACACATGGCTCAGCAGGGCCAGAGACCTAGCCTAGTCTGTCGTACACTTACCCTTGTTCTCACAAGCACCAGTGGGTGCTGGAGTCTAGCCCAGTCCAGCGCATCTCAGACCCAGCTGACAAGCAAGCCGAGGGCTCCTTCAGTTACATCCAGAAGCAGATCATTCTCGGAACCCTGACTCTCATGCTCATCAATCAATGGGGATCAGAACCTCAGACCTGGTCGTCCCCATTGCTCCCAACCAGGCCTGTTTCCCTTCTCACAGGTCTCCCACATGCCAGTGGTTGCTCTGAACCACCTGCTCTGGTCCATCATGTCTCGTAGCCTTTGCCTTTGGATGCTGCAAGATGGCCTCACCTAGCCAGCTCCAGTCCCAACTCTCACTGCCAGGTCCTGCCACCTGGCCTTGCTCAGTCTGCTCCCATCCCTGGCTCATATCAACCAGTAGGTGTGATGTCCTACCTCAGCATGAGCTGCACTGCAGCCTGGTTTCTGCACTCACCAGTGGGCTAAGGTCTGCTCTGCCCTGCCTGGTGCGCCCCCTGAGAAAACCAACCCACACATTTGCCAACAGATGGGGCTCCCCTGCCTGGCTTTCCTGACACCTGGGACTGAAACACGTGTTCTCCAGTGGGAGTTATGGCCCCACAGGGGGTTTTCCATTGTTCTCCCACTTGACCCACTCATACATCTCACATGTGCCAGCAGGTGCTAGGCCCTCTCTGAGCATGCCTTGCCCTCCACCTCAGCCTTTCTATGAGCTGGAGGATGTTGCGGGCCGGCCCACCTGACACCCTGTTTTAGGATGGATGCAGATGCAAGTGTGGCAGCTCGGACCTGCCCAAACTCTTCTCAGCACCAGTTCCTGGGAGTGCTGCTGGGTTCCATGCTCACACCTCGTTCAGCCAGTCACCACCCCAACTCTTGAGCTAACCAGTGGGACTTGTATTTCCATAGAGTTTGGCCCACATTTCCCCTGCAGTATCAGCCCCTGGACATGGGACTCTCGCACGCTGCATAGTGGCATGGCCCTGCCTGATGTGACCTGACCCCTGTTCCTACACTCCCTCAGGCACTGGGATCTAGCTCTGCTAGACAGGCCCCACAGCCATAGCTTTCATGTGGGGTGGCGTGTGTCTGTCAGCGAGGCTCTGTGCCTACAAGTGCATCTCAGGACTGTCATGTGGGCTGGTGAATCAGTCTGAGCCACACAGAGAGATCTTCCAATCTCCTCCATACCACCAAGTCTCAGTCCCCAACTTACCAGTCAGTATAGTGGCCCTGTTCTTGGGCATCCCTCAGAATTCATTCCTCACTTACCTGGATGGTGTCCCTAGCCATGCCTGTCCCTAGGCAATAATTCAGCACCACCTAGTCCCCAGAGCCATGCGTTCGTCTGACAGGATCCGTGCCCTGTGCCAGCATCTGCCAACTGTTGCTGTGGAAAACCCCAACCCACCCATACCCACACCGGCTTATGCATGTCCCAGGACATAGTCAGCCCAACCTTGCCATTACTGGAGGCATCTCACCTTACCACTAGCCCTAACCCTCTTTCATATCCTGACCCTAACCCTAATCCTAACCCTATCCCAACCCTGACCCTAACACTAATCCTAACCTTAGCGCTAACCCTATCCCAAACCTTACCCCATCCCTAATCCATACTTCAAGTTGACCATAATCCTACCATTAAAACTATCCGAGAACCTGAAAATAACCCTAAACCTATTCCTGACCCTTACCCATAATCTAACCCTAACAATAACCCTAACACCCTAAACTTATCCCTGACCCTGGCCCTGACATAACCCTATGCCTGACCCAAAACCTACTCTAACATATTCCAGAACCTGACACTGACCGCAACCCTAACCCTATCCCTGTCCCTGATCCTAAACTTAAACCCTATCAGATAATAATCCTAAGCGTATCGCTGACCTGACCTGCCAGTAAATGGTGCTCAATGATCTTCAATGCTGACTAATCCAGCTTAGGTGGCCCACGTGTGCTCGTACTTCAGCCTTGACCCTTAAAGGTTCTCTTAGTCCCCCCTCTAAACTACTTGGTCTCAGCCCCTTGCTTATACACAAGTACATGGCCTTGTCCATGGCAATCTTTCAGTAGTAGTTCATCACCTAAACAATAAAACACAGGTCATCATTCACCCCTATCTGTGTAAACACCCTAATCCCCCAAAGTGTGCGGCTGGGTGACCCAAGAGCTTCACCCAGTGCCATTGGCACCCAGTCCACCAAGGCCTTCCCTCCCCAAGCAGGCTAGCTGAGTGCACCTGTGCCTGTAAAAAATCTTCCCGTCTGAGGAGAGCCTGAAGGCCTGCTGGACCTCCCCTCCCTCAGGGAGCCACAAATGCCAAACCATTAAAAATTCAGGTCAACCTAATCTTGATTCAAAATGACAGACAAAATTTGGGTATCAGCAACAATTTTATCAATCAACATCGTCTGCAATTTGATTCTGATGGAGATCTCCAGGCTTCTCCATGTTTTGATTCTGAAAACCGCTCTCTATACAGTCCAGTATTTTTCCAACACAAGAGAGTTTAGCCAACATTACAACACAGATGATTTGTATTTAGTGGGAAATAGCTAGTCAACTTATTCAGAACAAGTAACAAAAAAACAATGAAAATTATCCTTATTTATTTGTCATGTTTTTACTTCATATATATTATCTTGAATGAGTATAGTATGGTTTACATTGTGCCTCGTTATATTATACATTTAAATGCTGTGATTTCACTTTTCAAAATATTCAAATTA